TGCATGGGCCTGCTGCCTCGTATCACTGCTGTGGGTCGAGAGGATACTGCGCAAGAGCACATCTCGGGAGGGCTTCATGAACATGGAGCAGCCACCTGTCGCTGGACCACTGCCGAACGTCCGCATTCCTCGGCCCCCACCCGTCGCACCACTAGAGCCGCCGCCGATGCGTCGCAGCGCCCCCCCGTCCCCCGTCCGTCCCATGCCCCGCACCGCCCCACCATCACCGCCATTGCAACCCCTTCGTGTGGAGAGAGGGGAAGCAATGGCGGCACAGCAGAGGTCGCAGACACGGCAGGAAGTCCCGGTATCCTCTATGCCGCCACCGGCCGACATCGGCCGTGGATCTACGGAGGTTTTCTTCGACGCTGAGCCGCTTGGTGCTCTCTCAACACCCCGATCTGTCATGGACGAGCCCATCCAGACGGTCACAGAAGACCCAGAGCGCGCCAGCCCCTCCCATTCACGCAGCCGAGTGCCCAAGGAGCGTGCGGGGCGCCGACCGTCGCTGCCCACGCCCTTCTCAGGCGGAGATGAGGCGTCTGCTGCTGCCGATGGTGGTGACATGTACTTCGATGTGGTGGAGAATGGCGACTGGGACATCCTCGACACGCCCCGTGAGCCCTCAGCTGCGGCCGTCGCCGACTCAGTCTCGCGAACACGACCATCCATCACCACCCTGCCCATCCCCGAGGCGACGACAGATGTGGACGAGGACCACCACGAGGCTTCGGCCCAGGACCGCGGCAGCTCTCGCATCATGCAGGTGCTCCGCGGTGCCCGCTTCTTCCGGGGCCAGGACACGCCGTCCAACACTTCTCCCACGTCGGGGTCGTGGCTGCGGGCGGGCATCAGCTCATATGGCCTGTCGCCCAGGCGGCCGCTTCCTGCTGACGTGCCGGAGAGCATGATGCCGGCAGCGGCAGCAGCAGCAGCAGCAGCAGCAGCGTCAGCAGGAGAGCGGAATGGTGAGGCGTGGGTGGTGGAGCCATTAGATAGTGGGGAGGTGGTGGGTGGACGGCCAGCGAGGAGGGGCGGCGGGCAGGCGGGCAGGACGGGGGATCTAGGGGAGGGCGGCGGGGACGACTGTGGTGATGACGAGCTAGAGCCAGTGGGTGGTGGGTCTGATAGTGCGGAGAGAGACGGTTCAGACAGAAAGAAGGATCAGTGAGGGTGACAGACACGTCGGGTGAGG